ATGAATTCGACCTAACAGTGTAGCTAGTGCCGAAAATCCTCACACCGTCGGGTCACGAACCCAAGAATCTCCCGATCAGAGGCACTTAATTAATGACTTCTTGGCTGTCCGGATGGACGCCACGTCGTTGGCTGAGAGGCCGACGTTTCGCCTATCATATCGCAGGCTTCCTCAGGGTAGTGACGAGGCTAACTGCAACACGACAGGCGAAACGTCGACCTCTCAGCCAAGGACGGCCTCTCAGCCATTTCCCGGACATGAACTCGACTGCGGAAGCCTACGTGGACGTTAATTAATGCCCTTACTGAGATTGTCAGACGACTGGTAAATATATCAACAATAGAAATTGCAATATTGACATATAAAGAATTAGTTCTAATAATATATTAAAACACAGACACTAATAATATAAACATAGCACAGAAATAAAATATGCCGGTGTAAGTGTATTCTTTCACTTTTCAGTCGACAGTTTTCCCTTGTCCTCTGTTGATGGATCGTCTTGAATTTAGTCTCGTAGAACGACGCGCGGAAAGAGATTATTACTTTTGCCCTACCGCTTACAAGTAGAGAAAAAGTTTTGTAATTGTCCGGGAAAATATGCGAAATGTTGAGGGAAAAACTCTTATTGACGGGTCCTGGTAAGAAAAAAGTGGATAAATCAACTGGATAAATATAGACACAATACAAAAATATTTCTCTAACACTTGGTGTAGCCAGAATCCATGTTTTGGGTCTTTGATACCGAAAACTCGATCGACGTCGACGGGTTATTTGACGTCGACGTCGACGACATATTTTGTTAAAATGGTAATTAAAAATCATTACCATGTTTAATTACCATGTTTTGTTAATTGTTCTTTGAGTCGATCTGTTTCAAGCCCATTGCTCGTTCTTTGAAGTGCGGGTTAGGTTGGCAATCGTGCCGACAAGCCAGGCTGCTTGTCGTGCGCGCACTTGGAAGATCCGTGAGTCCAGAGACCCGCTGTCGAGTGCGTTTGTCAGAGTGACTGCAAACCTGGTTGCGGCCAGCGAATTTATAAAAGGGTGTGGTTAGAAGAATGTATTTGTGGCTGTTATTTGTTCTGTCCACGACGGTAAAAATACCGTAAGAAATAACGATGTAACGCTTCCTCGTTATCGTTGTGGTTGTTGCACGTGCAAAGTGTATCTACATGCGTAAAATTATAGCATTCGCACTACATAAACTCTCTATCTAGTTTTTTAGATTTAGATGTAGATTTATTCTGTCAAAGAAAAAAAAAACAAACGTAAAAACTGTATGTGACGTAGGGGAGAAAAGATTATCTGCGCAGTTGAAAGATGAGTAAAAGTTTAAATTATTAAATAATAATAAATTTTAAAAATTGCAAGATTAGCAGTATTTGAAAAATAGTCATTTTTGTTTCTGACTTATAGAAAACTTATTTGCATCGGTACATGAATTGCAAGTATGATTTTTCTGCATTGCTAACGAGATAGTAACTCGCCCTTACCTCTATTCCTACCATTACAAGCAAAAGGAGAGTTCAACAAAACGTGCGCATAGTGAAGCTACATTCACGTCCAGAAGCAAAACAAGGAGCCATCTCAGCATTTGCTCAATGGATCAGGAAAACTGGACAAAAGCGGACCGAGATGGGTGCCAACCGGCTGTAACTAAGTTGCAGCACTGCAGTCACTGCAGTTCACTGCAGTCACTGCAGTTCACTGCAGTCACTGCAGGGCCAGTGACCAGGACATCGTAGGATTCGAGTGCCTACGGTGGAAGTACTTGCGTCATATCTAGAAGAAGAACTCGAACGGTTGGCTGCGCTGATCAGTAGTTTTCCACGGTTTCTCCGAACAACAACAGGAGAATGCCCGAGCAATACCCTAACAAATGGGCGATGGACGGTCGCGATCTATCCTCCCTCTTCCTTGGCCTATCCTCACTTCTTACTTACACTTTTACATGCATCCACTACACTACCACACATGTCAGGAGACCGATCTGGCGATTTGAGCTTGTCTCGGCCGGGACGATGCTCCGCTGGTGGGAAATAACTGGTTGTGGAATACCTGTCGGGAAGGTCGACACAACATCCAGAGGGGCGAAATGACAGCCAGTTCACTCGATAAAAACATGCACTACACTTTAGGGACTAATGACTTTAGTAGTTGATGCGCCCGAAATTATTAATCACTCCGTCAAACACCGACGCTAACTTGCGTTAGAAGATTGCCGAAAGCCACTTCTCAAATACCAAGGACCAAAAATAGACATTACTGCATTTGAAAGAAAGAAAAATTTACATTTTTGGTTCCGAGTACCTACGAAAACAATTTTCTTCTCGAAAATTGCCACTCTTTGTTGAAGAAATACAAAATTTATACCTTCTACGATGTAGTGCACGAGAAAAAAAGCTGTTACTTTTATATCATGGACCCTAATAAGGTGTATTACGTAGAAAACTCGACGTGCACGTTTTGCAGCATTATATGTGCTTCTCTATACTACATACACGAGAAAATATGAAGGTTTTAGGAAGGTTCGCGAAGAATTGTGGAGTAATTATGCAACTAACGTAAATATTCTAATCAACGTTCTCATCCTCTGTCCTGGCGAACGAGCGAAGAATTGTGGAGTAATTATGCAACTAACGTAAATATTCTAATCAACGTTCTCATCCTCTGTCCTGGCGAACGAGCGAACGAGAACGATAAACCAGATTTCAGACCCGCTGTAAAACGAGGTAGGAAACGAGCCCGCCGCCCAGCCGGGGACCTGTACTCACGCAGCTTGTCGGGGGCCGCCGTCGCAAGGTCTGCCGCGAGCAGCAGTGCAGCGGCTGCGACTGCAACGGAGAGCAGGGGGAGTGGAGCCATCTTCGTGTCTTCGCGTGAAGTGCCGGCCGGATGGCGTGAGCGCGGTTCTTAAGGAGCCCCAGCCGCCCAACCCTGCCCCGCGTCCCCACCCCCGGCTTCCGTGCAGGCTGCCCCCGCCGCCCCTCCAGGCGCCTGCAGGCCACCTTGTGCTCGGCGAAGGTCGCCGTGCGAGTCGACGGCTTTTTCGCGAACAGTCAGGAAGCTTCACGGATGGGCGAACGCTTCCGGGCTTGGCTTCTACAGGCGCTGTCAGGCCCGGCGGAAAATGGGTGTAGCTATACGCACACGAAAAAGTTCCAGTGGGTATTTTAATTTGGGGTTAGATGAACGTTGAATGATGTGGTAAACCATAAAAAAGTGACTGCACTGGCAACTGACTTACAAACAAAGTTTTTTTAAAATTACTCGTAAATAATTTTAAGAGTGCACTGCACAATGAATATCGATATTTTATGAATCTGAACACAAATTAAATCTACTTTGAGCGCTTATCAAAAGTACATGAATAAACATACACGTGCATATTTTCGATCGTCAAATTCCAGAAACGAAGTTTTTCGGTATTGCGTTGACTCAAAATGTACATATACAATGGACAGTATTGCAAGATCGGCTCAACAGTATTGCGATTTCAAATGTTAACAGAGACATGACCGACTAAATCAATTTGCAAAAATTGTTAAAAGGGTTTATATAAAAAATGTAAAGCGCAGCATTCCAAACATGAAGTGCTGAAGTTACATAAAATTAATTTGACAAAAATGATTTGATGACAATTTAATAATATGACAATTTGAATAAAAAACAACAACTCTGTTTGGTATTTTGCCCTTCATATACATTTTGGTGGAAGATGGAGGGGGAGGGGTAACCCCAACCCGATCAACTACCCTCTCGGACTTAACACCAATCGCCGATCCTGGACACTCTGGTGGTCTGAAGATTCGGCGACTGTGATAACGGACATTTTTATTTTAAAAACCTAAACCATACCACTGTGTTTGAACGAAAATTATTTTTATATGAAAGGACATTTCTTAAATTATATTTCGCTATGGGTGTCACCATTGTTCAGATATTGATGTATCAGAGCCGGAAATCAACGTTTTTATGCCTTTTTCATACAAAGATATCACCAGACAAAGACAGAAACTTCTGACCACCATTTTGTTTCCAAAAAAAAAAACGGTGCTGTGATTTGCGAAAAATTCTTCAGAAAGAATTTCTATAGTGAAATGTCTGATTTTTTTATTCACTTTTTCCACCATCTCATCATTGAAAACGAAGGCCGTCTACTCTATGTTTCATGAAAACTTGTTCTTCTATCAGGGAATCGTCTAACCTTCTTGCTCATTATTCCATA